CTTACTGCTGTCTTTCAGCCACACCCCTGATCTTCTGGTAGGAAAGATCTACACCTGACCTTCTCGGACAAGGGCGAAAAATCTCGGAGATCCCCTGCGCAAGTTGCACACGTTAAATATCCCTTGCTGGTCTAGAATCGATAATAAGAGAGGGCTTCAGCCGCCACTCGGGCAAAATTAAAAATTTCCTACCAATTGAAAATGTTTGATGGGTCCCACGCGGTCATAATATGATCTTATCTGGTTGCGAGCGCCGCAAAACACTTTACCAAAACAAAATTAATAATAATAAAAACAATATATATATATATATACTAACTTACCTATAGTGAGCACCGCCATGGTGGCGACCAGAGATGGCCACGATACCGCCATGACGTTTCGTGTCGTTCCGTGACGTTTGTCTGGTGGGAACACTACTGCACGAAATGGACGAGGAGCCCTTCTCTGACACAGCTCTCGAGTGGTCTGCTGAACACCTCACTCTCTCAGTCACTCACTTAGTCACTCACTCGCTCACTCCTTCACGTAGTCCTTGCTGCCCCGCGCGGCCTCACTGGCTGGTCACACCACGGTACAACCTTTGACCTCCTCACTGACTCGTGGACAACCGAGTCTGGAACCAGCGACATTGCATGGGGACGGGGCGAGACGCTCAGAGTCGATAGAAGAAGAGAGCGTATAATCAGGTGGAATCAGGCGCTCGCCAATTTTTTTATTTGGTTATTTAATCTTTCTTTCTTTATTTCTTTTCCCCCTTTCTTTCTTTCTTTCTTTCCTTCTTTCTTTCTTTCTTTCCTTCTTCCTTTCTTTCTCTCTTTCTTTCTTTCTTTCTTTCTCTCTTTCTTTTTTTTCTTTCTCTCTTTCTTTCTTTCTTTCATTCTTTCTTTGTTTCTTTGTTTCTTTCTTTCTTGGAATTGTGCTACCTTATTATCACAAAGTTCTATCTGACACTTTTGGCCATTTTCGGCTACTTAGACCCTGAGGTCAAAAACCAATGACTATTGTTCAATCTGCACTCACTGGCTGGTCACACCACAGTGCAACCTTTGACCTCCTCACTGACTCACAGACAAACGAGTCTGGAACCGGCGACAGCGCATGGGAGGACGGGGCGA